CCATACCTTTCTTTCTTTTTTCTTTTTTTGCATAAAGGCCCTTTTATCTTTCCTCCTCATGATGAAAGTTCACTCTTCTGTTGAGTTTGTTGTTAATATATTATGATCTCACGTCGCTTAATATTGCATTATTCTTTCATTTTCAACAATATATACAGTAACGGAGAATTGTTCACAGGATGGTGGTTCATTATAAGGTGATACATAGTGCAGTGAGGAGGGCTTTGCATTTTCTTTTCAATATTGATACGGACTCTGTTTTCTCCTCTCATCTTCTCTGTCACACGCCGACACTCTTCTTCTTCTTCTTTAAAAAAAAATCTGTCAGCTCTCTAAGTATCACGTGTAGTTTAACAGGATGATTTGTTGTCATCGAGTCATCTGTCACCAAAAGCTAAATGATGAAATGAGAGCGGGAGCGCCACTGTCTTGTCTGTAATGAATTATGCAGAGGGGGGGGAGGTCAGGGGCCTGTGTTTTGGTTACAGTCGACAGCACAGACACGGACCTCAGGTAGTGCACTCATCAGTCCTGCTGTTTCTCACCATATGGAGTCAATGAACTGGGACACCCTCCTCCTACACACACACACAAACACACACACTTCATCACACACACTCATGTGCCTGAAGACAATTTCATACAGTAGATAGAGGGACAGTTTTTATATTGTCAATAGATAGATAGATAGATAGACAGCACATGTGTTGTTATACTGACCTTTCAATAAGAAGTGGCTCGTTTAAACTACTATTTAGCGAACAATTCCATTTACACTGTCCCCATCTCATGGCCACTGAGTGAAACTGCTCCTCTTAGTGATCATCTTTTTTTAAAAAGTAGTAGTTAAAAAAAAATAAAAATTCCAAACTAGAAAAAAAAAACCAATCCCTCGGTGCCCTCTTTAAATAAATGAAGCCATGTGATCAATACTTCTTCCCCTCTTTTTTTTCCTCCCTTCTTCTCTCCACCTCTTTCAGTGTTTAATTGGATGAAACTAGACAAATTGAATTAGATGTTCCCGCCTCTGTACAATTGAGATATCTGTTACAGATGATGTGCCGTATAATGAATGCCTAATTTATGTAATTAGACCATTAAGCATAATCCGAGCATATGTTGGGAATGCCCTGAGGCCTTCTTCCAGGTACTCCCTCTGATGTCACCCAGACATGGCTAATGGACTGGGCTGCCAGGAGCATCTAATCCCTATTATTATTATTATTATTATTTTCAAAATAAAATACATATTTAAAAAAATTAAAATAAATCCCTACATTCTGAGATCAGTGTTTTGAAATGTGATGTGGGGATTTATTTTCTTTTTTTTTGTCCCCTTAAATTCTGGCTCTGGTCAAAATTCATACTCAAGGGGGCAGCATGTGAAGATGGCCTTTAAGTAGTGTGAACATCCCGTCATATAGGCTAAATTTTTTTTTCCATCGAGGAGGTTCTTGTGAGAGCACTCTGTCTGCTAATTAATTGTCATTCCGCTGAATATTCATACCTTATCATCAACGCGTCCTTAATTGCACCGTAAAACATCTCTGGGGGCTGAAATCACCACGGACTTAATTAGAAGCCTATTGTAAAAAAAAAAAAAGTGGAGGGGGGGTTGGATGGAGAGTTTTGCAGCAGACAACAAAACTACATACCTGTGTGTTTAACATAGAGGCCAGCAGACAACAACAACAAAAAATCCAACCTTAATAAATCTTGCAGTGGTGATAATCTGAGATGCAAAACAAGTCAAATAGAAAATTGCGCTAATTTGCATCCCATTCATCGGGATCGCAAATGTTTGCCTTGAAAGTTTCTGCACCTCTAGCGATGATTTGTTTATTTATTGGTTGGTTAATTGCCTAAATCTACATTGCCTGGAGTCTGGCATGGAGCTTCAGCAGCCAGGGTGCACCTGAAAAACAGTTAAAGACAAATTGAAATCACATTTAAAATTATTTTTTTTTACCCCCCACTAAAACATTTATTCCACAAAAAATAGATGCGTAAAAACCACATTTGCGTTATTGTTATTAATTGATCTTCATTTTCCAAACTTGAGCCTCCATAATAAACGTTCCCCTGCGTTAGAAAGCAGCACTCTGGGCTTAAATTCAACCCCCTAATCGTTCCCTGAATAGCAGCTCCTCTCCACCTCTCCGTAGGTCTGGGTGGCAGCATATCTCAACTCGATTCACTGTGACAATATTGTTTGGCTATCATTCGCTGCTTTAGGATGAATGGCATCGATCCTCTTTTAACAACATTTGTTTCCTATTGTGTTCGGGGGGCGCAGCAGAGGAGGGCAGACGTGTGAAAGTGGCTGTTTGATTCTCTTTTTCATCCCCATGACCTCAGCTTTTGTGTCTCGTCACCCTGGGAATGTCACGCCTCACTACTCTACTTTAAGATGTTTCAGAAAGTGCCCTTTGTTTTCACTCCTTTTTTTTTCTCCCTTTTTTTTTTTTTTTTTTAAAGCTCACACAAAATTGTTCTTGGTCCCCCTCCTGCTATAAAGGATACTTCAGACTGAGGCACGGTTCACAAGTGCAATGCAATTTGGCTTATCCCAACCTTTGTTCGGGTTTCTACAAATGACCAAACATAGTGCAGACTTGATCTACTGCTGCTTGAACTCGGGAGTTTTGGGAGCAGCTAAAAAAAAAAAAAAAAAACCTTTTCAGATTCAGAGTCATGGTGGTATTTTCAGTGTGTGCATTCGACGGGGGACAAAAGGCCTACCAATATCCCATAACCCTGAAGCTCAAAAAGCCACTGCGTCTGTGAGTGAGAGGAGTCAAAAAAAAAAAACAACACACCTCTCCCTGCCTGTGTGACTCGGCTGGTTAATGCGAGTGTCGCAGGTTAACTTCCAAAGCATGACAGCGAGTTTTTTTTTTTTTTTTTGCGAGTAAATAAACTGACAGCGATTATTAATTTCAAGGGGAAAATGTTAAAATTATGAATCATGCGTAAAGAATAAAAAAAAAAAGAACAGTGCGTAAAATCCACCTGATTCGCTGCACGTCTCAGCGTTTGCAGTGCGTTTTTTAATCGTGCGTAAAAATCACATTTTGCATGCGTAATTTTTTTTGCACGAAACAAATGTGCAAATTACGCACTAATCTAACTGTGTGCACAGACATATTAATCTAATTAAGATCTAATAATAATGCGTATGTATGGTTTTTTTTGGCTGAATGAAGAGGCTGGATGTCAGAAGATGTTTGCTGTTGGCAGTGTGTTGTCATTATCCGCGCTGTTTAAGATGGGTCGACAGGGCCACTTCCTTTCAGACAAAACCTTTTTTGAGCTGAACATTAATGTGAAATGACAGGTGTTAAAAGCCAGTGTGTAGGAAATTTAAAAAAAAAAGCAACAGCTGCAAGTTTCCTTCTAGAAACTGCAAAACAAAGTAACTTTTTTTTCCTATTTATTTAAAATTATGGCACAATTACGCACGTCTTTGTGAAACAGCCGTTTCCATTTTTCCCTTTTAAAATGTTATTTTTCTAAAATGATTAGTGAGTTAATTAATTAATTTCTGTTGATTGAGGAGTCGAAGCTCTTAAAGCAGTCCTTGTGCAGCTCTGCCTCAGCCTGCTCCTGGTTTCTGGGTTGAAAGCAGCTCGGTGTCCCCCCGCAATGCGATTCTTTTCGTAATCCATCAGACTGGTGATGGGGTGCACTGTGGGTTTATGGGGGGAAATTAGCATAAATTATGAGTAAATCTGCGTGTGCGTGTGTGTGGTCCCTGGCATTGCAAACCCTCCAAGCGGAAAAAGGTGGCCCTGGCCAAAAGCTTGAATAGCAATAGCTCAAAATAGGCTTCCCATTTGGTTTTCACATTCATATAATTGACTTATGGATATTTTATACAGTTTTCGCCACACCATCCTCAAGGGTTTATTTGCATTTCTGAAGTACTTTTGGATCTTCTTTACATAAACACAATAGACCTGATTGCCTCATGAAGTTTCGGTTTGAACAGCATTGTTTGCATTGTGGTGATGTTTTCATATCGTCTACTTCCTTTGCTCAGCTTTGGGCGAAATTAGCTGAGAAAAACTAATAGTCGGCTCATCAACAAACTTGCTCGTGGCGAATTATTTTTTGTATGGCGTGTGCATAAACAATATTAGAGTGTAATTAGTGGAGGGAGGGGGGAAAGCAAAAAAAAAAAAAAGCATTTTCTCAGCGTTTTATCTGTAAAATCAGCTTTTCATTCAAATAATAATAAAGATCAGCATGCTGAAACACTTCATGGACCTCCTTCACTCCTCACACACAGCACTGCACAAGTACATTTTAAATCCAGCGCATCCACATTGTTAAAAACCTGCCTCATATTAAAACAATATTACATATGCCCCATCATTTTAATGTCAGTCCGCATTCCACAGCCTACGTGTGAAGTGTAACTGTAAAGTATTAGCGCATACCTTCACACACTGAGTGCCATCGCAGTTCAATTCCGGTTACCGAGCCTTTTCGCCCCCTTTTTCTGTCTTCAAATGGAAATGATTTCCATTGGCCCAAGGTGTCCATGTAAATAGGTGTAAATGAAACCAGATTATGCCTTCCTCCCAGCCCCCTCCTCCCATGGCAATTGTCATGTGATAGCAAAGAGGTGGCACATTAATGGAGCGCCTCTACAGGGGTCTTTTCTGCTCATGTCACTACATAAAACTATCAGATGGTTAGAGGAAGGCCATGGAGGCATACGCTTAGCTAGTCTTATCAAGGACGCCAAATGAAGTCTATTCAACTCTGCTAGCGGGACAAGCTGACTTACTTTGCAAGAAAGACTTACAGCAGCCCCGTCACTCCATAAATGTGCACCGTCCTCGCCTGTGCTCGCCTTGCCCACCGCAGAGGCGCACAAACCGGCTGTTTTACGCGCAGCGCAACTCCGGCGTCGCCTGCACCGAAACTTTCCTCCTCCAGCGTTTTCATGACGAGCAGCAAGCCAAGGAATTAAAGGAGACTACGGTTGTTGTTTTTATTTTTTTTATTGTTATCATTATTTGCTTTTCTGAAAATCTCGAGGATGCCTCGTCCGGGGAGAAACACGTACAGCGACCAGAAGCCTCCTTACTCCTACATCTCGCTCACTGCCATGGCGATCCAGAGCTGCCCGGAGAAGATGCTGCCTCTCAGTGAAATTTACAAGTTCATCATGGATAGATTCCCTTATTACAGAGAAAACACGCAGCGGTGGCAGAACTCTCTGCGGCACAACCTGTCCTTCAACGACTGTTTTATTAAGATCCCCCGGCGCCCAGACCAGCCAGGTAAGGGCAGCTTCTGGGCTCTGCACCCCAACTGCGGGGACATGTTTGAGAATGGAAGTTTTCTGAGGCGCCGCAAAAGGTTCAAAGTGCTGGGCGCGTCTGATCACTTGGCCCCCAGTAAGCAGTCGGATGCCGCCCATTACCTCCAGCAGCAAGCCAAGCTGAGGCTGAGCGCCCTGGCGGCCACCGGCACGCACCTTCCCCAGATGTCGACCTACAACCTCGGAGTGTCCCAGACGTCAACTTTTAAGCACCCGTTCGCCATCGAGAACATCATCGCCAGAGAGTACAAAGTCCCGGGAAGCCTGGCGTTCTCCACCATGCAGTCCATGTCCGCCGGCTACCCCCTCCACAACCAGCTGACCACCGCCTGGCCCCACATGTACAACACCAGCGTGATTGACACGGCGGCCCCCATCTCCATGGCGAGCAGCGACTACAGTGCCTACGGCGTGCCCATCAAGTCCCTGTGTCACGGGGGGCAGTCGTTACCGGCCATCCCCGTGCCAATCAAACCCACCCCGACCTCCATGCCCGGTTTCTCGGCGCTCCCTCCCCACATCCCCGCGTTTCTATCAAACTCTCCGCAGTCTCTGAGCCCGACGTCCCCACAGACAGCGACGAGCCAAAGCAGCCCGGCCACCCCGAGCGAGACTCTGACGAGCCCGTCCACGCTGCAGTCTGTGGCCGTGCACTGACCGCCAGAACTGCTGCGGTGAGACCCGGACTGCTGGCCAGGCTCCCAGGCCGACCTCCCTCCCTCCCCTCCACCTCCACCTCCACCACCTCCACCTCCCTCCCCTACTCTTCTCTTTTACCAAACCCAAAGTTTATAGCCTATTTTCTGCCGTCGGAGAAACTATCAAGGCGAGTTGCAGTTGCATATCGATTTATTTGTGTATATGTGTTGAATGTGTCGCTTTAAATTGTGTCAAGTCCAGCACAGAGTCGCACAGCGAAGTATTGCTCTTGAAAATATAAATTATTTGATGATAGTTCTATTTTTCAGTTTGTTGTGAAAATGTGTTGAAAGTTGGAGCCACTGAAGGGGATCCAGGAGGAGGAAGAAGGCTTTTTGTTTTTGGCAGATTTAATATTTGTTTTTATTTTTTTTCCTTCAGTTTTATCAAACAGCAAAACTTTTGCACCGTTTCTGTGTGACCACTGTAATGTCAATGAAATTGCGAGGCAATGGCTCCGTGTTTTTGTTTGCTTTTAATACTGGAATGATGGGTAAGGGTATACCAAATAGGACTAGGATTTAGATTTGTTCTTACCATCCGTGTAAAAAAATAAATAAATAAAAAGGGAAAAAAAAAAAAAAGAAAAGACAGCAAACTGAAATCTTGTGAGACGTCCTCAAAATGCAAGATGTGAATATTGCAAATAACTGATACTGAAATGTTGTAAAATGCACTTTTTAGTTTTATGTTTTAGATATCTATTTTCCAGAAAAAAAATGTTCTGTGAAGCATTTAATTTTAAAAAAAAAAGAAAAAAAAAACAGGCTGTGGTGACCATGTGTATCAGATGCTGTAAATTTGTACTCCTTTTTTTTTTTTTTTAATTCTTTTGTTTTTTTATTTTATTTTTATTTTTTTGGTAAAGCATGCATTCTTTTTTTTTTTTTTTAAATTCTTTTGTTTTTTTATTTTATTTTTATTTTTTTGGTAAAGCATGCATTCTAAAAAAATTGTGTTGTCACTGTTGTTGTTGTTATTGTTGTTGTTTTGTTTTTTTTTTATTTTTTTTGCAAGCATGCGTGCTTTGGGAAAAAAAAACAGTCTGCAATGAATTGGAAAAAAAATGGTCATCGAAATATTTTCTCATTAAAAGTGAAGTAAACAATCAACAATGTTTCTGAAGATTTAATCAAGGACGATGACACATATGTTATTATTATTATTATCATTGTTATTATTATTATTATTACCAGATCGCATTTTTCTGATCATTATTTTTTAGCTGTCAAATTTTTAGATTTCTGAAATTCGACTATAATAACAACAACAATAATAATAATAATAATATTAATAATATTAATAATAATAATAATAATAACATCCATCCAGATCTGTGTGTGGGGAAGGCAGGGGCAAGCTGTGGGAAGAGAAGTGAATCGTGCAGCCGATTAGGATGCATGGAGCTGCGATGCTGTGGCCACAGCGCAGACAACCAGCCTCATTCATCAAGCTGAACCAAACACAATCGGGCCCGACAATAAACATTTAGAAAAGCTGCCTCCGAATCAACAGCCTTACATATTTTTTTTCAAATGTCACAGAGAGAGAGGGTTGATTAAATAAGCTCATGTTTCCCTCCATCGACCTGGTGATTCTCTCCCATTAGCAGCAGCCTTTATTCAACAGGTTTATAAACACACATGGAAAAAAAAAAAAAAAGAAGTCTGCTTTAAAAATAATCTTAAAATAATTGTTGCAACGGATTAAATATATAATTTTAAAAACGAGGCGGTTTCTGTGTCTCCTGTGCAGAAAGCAGCATCAGCCTATTTCGGGGGGTATTAAACAAATACATTAGAATTCCGTCACTTTATGGAATCCAGTAGATCAAATAAAGGGTCTCGGGCCACTTCATTCTCCCTCATTCACTTGTATTGAAAGTGCAAAGAATAGTAAACTTAGACTGGGCCACCAATGTAGATTTAGCCTTTTTTCAGCAAGACAAAAAGACTGATTTTTTCACAAACACATTGCTGACTGGGGAACTAGGAAACGAGCTGCGAGACCCTTTTGGAATTTAAATCCACCCCTCCCCCATGGACTGTTTGTACAACAGTGTTAGTTCTTTTTTTTTTTTTTCCTTTTTCTTTCTTCCCCTCTTCTCCCCCCTCCACTTTGTGCATTTGTGTGTGTGTAACATTAATTCTGACTCTGGGTGATTAAATGAATTGAAACTGAAAGATTATAATTTAGCATCAGATTAATTACAGATCTCTTTCTGGCCGGTCGTGAGAATTAAAACTACATTATTATAAAACTTTTTTTTTAAATTTAGCTTGTTGGGGAGGGAAAAAAATCCCATAACACCTGTGTGACACAAGTGGAAAAATCTTGTAACAGCATATGATGCGATGATATATTTACTACATATTTATATTTGTGCTTTTTTATTTTTATTATTTTGATTTCAGTGTACTTTTATTTGTATTGCATTGTTCTAAGTAAAAGATTTATGTAATGTACAGATAAATGTTTGAAAAGAACTTTTATGAATAAGAAGTCGTTCATTGTCACATCCAAATGTGAGATGTAAAAAAATAACCAAAAGTTTTGTTTGTTTGTTTGTTTGTTTGTTTGTTTAAAGCCTTATGTAGTAAAAATAAATGCAATAATAAAATGTCACTTATTGCATTTTTTAAAAAGCAATCTTGCAATTTTCAGATAAAGAGGATTCATTTGAATTGGAAGAATCGTGTCTTCACTGGGCACAAATGAACAACTTTTCCTGAGCAAATAATCAAACAGATTTAACCCTTTAGAGAGCAAGTGGAGAATAAAAGCATTTATATAACAGGTGGGACTGAAAGAAGATATTATAAAATAATGAAAAAAGCATCTCTGACACTGATTAATTGTAACAAACTGTCTGGAAAACGCTTTTCTTCTGAATAAAGCCCCTAAAAAAAAAAAAAAATTAGCTGTTTTGGACACTTTTAAATCAGTGCCCAGAGTTTTTCTTCCCAACCAGTTTGCATCCTTCCCCCCCTTCTTTCCTAAAACAAATAAATCCTCTTGTTGCCATTTCAGTGGCATCAGCATGAACTCGCTTGTATAATCCAAGTCTGCATTGTCCTTGTTCTCTCAACTATGTTCCACTTAGACAAAGAAGAAGGTCATCTCAGGCAGGCGATGAAATATAGACCACATGCAAAACCCCAATGTTGTAGTTTAATTAAAATAATTCATTAAAGTGGTGGCCCAAGGTAATTAGCATGTATAATTTATGATTTGCTTAATGCATGCAGGCAGTGGCCTCTGCAATAAACTCAACTTAACCTCAAGTAGGGAACTGATACGGACAGGGTGCCGTTATTTACTGTGTGTTTGCTGTTTGGATATTTGTCAAAGAGGAAGCGAGTGTTTTCAGGAGAAAGCCTCGCCGTTGTCTGGCTTCCATTGTACACAAACAACTTGGTTTTTTATGTGTTTATCTTGGAGATTTATGCTCACTCATGAGAGAGGCTGTCAGATGTGTTATATGTTTTTACAGTTTTTTTTTTTTTGAAGCTTATATTCATGCTGCTGGTCACTTGCTGTTGAGTCGTGAGCTGACAGAATGAGGACGCCGACCAGCAGCAGCACCAGGTAGCTCATCCTGTCTCCCGCAGCAGCCTGTCAAGCGCCGACTTTTAGAAGAAATAATCAGTGATAGACAAAACTTGCATTAATTAGACTCGGCAAATGTGTCAATCCCTGACAGGCCTTTGACATTTTGAAGCATGGCTAGTGGCTGTATTTTATTATTTCTTGCATGTAGTTTTTTATTAAAAACAACAAAGCAAAAACAAATATTTTCAGACGGAGCTGTAGGACCACGGTAAACAGATTTAGTTTAGAGGTAAACAGAGCTGGAAGAGGGACATACTGAATAAGAAAGCTCAATTTCAGACATTATTTTGAACCCCTCAAGGTGTCCAAACAACTCCAACAAAGTCCTAACCTTCATAATATTCAATTTAAGATCATATTTTTGTTTCCTAAAATCATGCAGCATTCCACAAGTTCCAGCTCACACCCATGATTGCGGCGTTATATGGTTAAATCATCAGTCATAATGTGCAGTGACTCCCAGGCTAAATACATTACATGGCTGTGTCGGAGGGCAAAGGGCAGGTATAGTGGGCAGCTGGAGGGGGGGAGGAAGGCGAAGAGGAGGAGGAGGGTGGGCGGGTGGGATGCAGCAACATTCAAGGCTGGCTCAGCCAAACACCCATGTGTGCATGAAATTAGAGTGTCAACATCTGATTCATGCTGCTGGGTGGTGACTGTGAAACAAATTATGTCAGCGGGTGGCAGCGGCAAAATACCACTGAGCTGCGACAGACAGTGGAAGTTATAGCAGGCCGTAGGTTCCGTTTTACAAACTGCGAGGGAAGTTTTCACGCAATAAATTTGAAGAAGAGGGGAAAAAATGTATAATGAAGTTTTTTTTTTTAAAGAATTTCCAGTGTAGCCCTGTGCTGGTATTTTTAAAATGATCCACTGTAGGTGTCATATAGAGTGGTTTTAGGAAATGGGGTGATAATTGATATTCAGGATAGGGATGTGTATTGTCACAGCTGCAAATGAAGGAGCTCCTGCTGTCAGGGTCATCATCAAAACAAGGATTTTATGAATTAAAAAATGGAAATATTTCACTCATATAAATCTTCTTGATGTTCTAATTGTAAGGAGACATAAAGTGCAGCCATCATATATTGTTCAGGCTGCAAAACCTTGATTTTTTATCAATAACACAACATTCAATGAGCGTTTCTCTCTGCGTGCAGTGACTCTGACATGTTTTCCTTTTTCAGTTTACAGTCCTGTGTGTGATCCAACAGCGCGCCGTCTCCGTATGCAGATGGATCACTTGTTTTCGCCTCAGTGTGTGCAAAGTGTTGGGCGGGTTGAGACAAGGTGAGAAAATCAGCCGAAATGCCATTCATCAAATATCAGGCTCCAGCCCTGTCATCCTCAGCTTTCAGCCTCCGCAGCTAACTTACATGTTTAATGTATAGATTTGCTAGAAAAAGAAAAAAAAATCAGCAAGCTTTTCTTTTCTTTAGCAGGGTCCAAGTGAAAGCAAATATCTAATTCTATTCTTAAGACATTTATGTTTCCACTTTAATTGAAGGTGTTTAATTTGGAATGCAGGTGAAGGGTGTGGCCTGAGAGCCAAAAGTGTCTGCTCTGTCCCAGCTTGTTCTGTCTAGTGAACCTGTTGGACTTTCAGGCTATTGGATAATTATATTTAATAATTCTGTCAAAGATGTCCCAACAGCCAGAGTTTGACCAAATGTCTGTTTATACAGATCCTCCGTGTGGGGAGCCGGTTAAACGCCCGTACAAACAAACTGCTGTAATGAAGGTACTTAACAGATCTGACACTGCGATGTTTTTGCTTCTCAAGTGCTTTAGCTGTTAGGTGTTAGAACTATAACAGATTCTGTGGATTTTAGCAGCCCGCTATTTCCCCTTTTAAATGTGGGACGAAAAGCTAATTTATCACCTTTCCTTGGGATCTTATCGTACCCTCTCCAGCCATAAACTAACACTTACACAGGACTTCAAAGGTGCACTAGGGGTAGCAGAGGTGAGAAAGGGGGCCTTCATCCACTTGGGGCTGGTTTCTTCCAGAGATGAGATGGAGCTGATTAGCAGGAGTGTGCAGCAAAGCCCCCGTGGGGCAGCAGCTGGAAGAGAACTCCCCACGGGAGCTGGGGCGAGGTGTAAGTTTTGACAGCTCCTGTCTCTCCCCTCTGGATACTGCGGGGTCAGGGCACCCTCAGCGGGCCCGGGCTCCGCTCTGGATAGGAAGTCGGCAGTAATTGCCATTCAGCCAGTGGGACAGAAAGAGAGACAACAATAACCAGCGAAGAACACACAGCCTGTTTCCTCTTTGTCTTCATGTGTTTGAGGAAGGATGCTACCTCCTTCTCAGACAGAACAAAGCCGCAATAAAGTTCTCACAATCCAATACAATCTCGCAGAAGTTGTCGAGGAAGACGATCATCCTGGAGATGCTGCGCACTTGGAGCCTTTTCCTCTAGCGGAGAAGGCCCAGATGGCTGCTTGTTGTTGCATAACAAGACCGCATTGTTTTGTTAATGTAACTTCATCTGTCTTTGATCCAATCTCATGTTGTCATGGCCAGTGTGAAAATCCCTATTAAGTGCATGATCCAGCACTACGCTCATTGTGATTGTGATAATCTCCTACATTGAAATTCCACTTTGTTCCTTTGTTTCTTTGTTAGCCGACACAATGTGAGGTTAATTAGCAGCCACTGGTAACCTCTGCGTTCCTGGATACTTCATCACAGCTGAAGTGTACTCTTCACTGGGAAACGGGGCCGCTGGCACTAACAAGACCAAACACAAGGCCTCGAGCCAATTGAAAGTAAGCAGAACACAAACGCAAGCGCTAAGTTAATCCCTTTCAGACTAACACACAGGCCCCAAATGTATAAACTGTAATTGTCTCTTCACGTCATTAATTGCTCTCATCACTGGATCCTTTCTCGGAGTGAAAACACACACACACATGGAGGAGAAACCGACTAAATCGCTATATATATTTGCAGATAAGGTGGCAGTTTATCAAACATTAAAACGGCTTTAATCTGATTCCAAGGTGTCACAGTGTAAATTTCCTTCTTCTGTGGCGCAGAAGCTTTCAGCGCAGCGCATTTATCTGCAATATTGCCCTTCCGCCACTTCAGATCTCCCCATTCCCTGGTGGTCTAATTTATGTTAAGTCACAAACCTCCCCTATGGCTGTTTTGAAATGTTCAGAATGGAGACTGTGTGCTCCAGGTTTATGCCAGCGCCACAATCCCCTGTGTAATTGTTCTCTATGGGAAAGCACATCTCAGTGAAACCATCTGCAAGTCCATGGGGCAGTTTCCTAAGAATGACTGGACTTCTTAGGGGGTTCCACTGCAATCCAGTTTCTCTTGTGAAGCAAGTAATTAATTCAAATCTCAGGAAGTCAATAGCTGCCTGGATCAGAGGCATGTAGCACACAGCTGCTGATACCTCCAAACACACCGCTTGTCTTCTCAGGAAGTCGCCAAACAAAACAACACAAAAAAAAGAAAAAGGTCACAATGGGCGCACACACCCATACAAGGCCACTTCTAAACTGCGGTTTTGGTGTACTCTCGTCATACAGTACACTTCATTAATCTGATTGTAGTGACGGCGGGAGTCACCGGTACACATGGGACACTGGGTTCTTCTTTATGAGTGATGTAATATCCAGTCAATAAACAAGCTTTCAAGGTTCTGTTGAACCTCTAGCTACAATTATTTACCTCCTTGTTGATTGGCTTTTTTAGCAAAAGAAACAACCTGCCACATATTAGCTCGCCATTACACAAAACGTAGATTTAATTTGGCAGCGTCTTGATTTATTTCACAGTCTTCAGTTGTAGTTGGGGTGGTGGGGGAAATTATGCACAAAGAAGTCCCTAGTTTGTGTGACAGTTTTTGTGATGATGCGTTGAAAAAGTGGCCTTCTTCTCATTTGCTACTTTTTTTTCTTTTTTTTTTTTTGTGGCTCATTAAATTCATTAGCAAAAGCACAGAATGATGAAACGTGATGAAAGAGCCAGGGCAGCACTTTAGGAACCACAAATGAACATCACTCGCTCGCCGTCTCCATCTTTCTCCTCTGTGAACTGTACAAAAGTAGAGCAGGCCAGAAGTTACTTTGAGGTATTTATTCTTGAAGTTGACCAGCTGTGTCTGTCATCACGCCATCTAAACTCTGAATGTGCTGCGTTTCAGACGTGAAATCAAACTTTTGGTCTCCTCCGCTTGTCGGCGTGATCTCCGAGCTGTCAGGCAAAGAGATCCGTAGAGGAGGAGGAGAAGCTCGGTGTGTGTGTGTGTGTGAAGGGGGGGAGTGAAAGTGATTCTCAGGCAGTAAACTTCTTCTGGAGGTGGGGCAGGGCTGGGCTAAATGCCTTTGCCTGGGCTGCTCCCTACAGCTCATTGTTATCTGGCCCGTGGAGGAAGCCACTGCTGTGCTTCCAGCCTGTCTCTGACAACAAGTGTAAATAAGGATCTAAATAACAAACAGAGTCATGCGAGCCTGTGTGTCACAGTGAGCTTCACAGGGCTTCGCTTTAGCCCCGCGCTGGCCACCTTAATGACTCCGTCAAAGGGAGCGTGCAATGGTCGGCTAATTTCTTTTCTTCGGCGTCATTAGATGGCACTGTAGTGGACGAATGAAAAGCAGGGACCAGTGTGTGTCATGGATTACTGGATTGACATGAAAATATGCAGAAATGAGTTTAACATGAGACACGGTGGTTCACACGGTCGATGGAGCTAATAAACTAAAAAAAAGACAGATTTGACTACATCACCTGACTACTTTTCTTCTGACATTCTTATGTTGTTTTTCGTACCTGTTAGATGATGAACAACTTGTGGAACATGCCTCAGTGCAGGATGATTTACACCACTTTCAGCCCCTGCAGCGAGGAATAAATTACAAGTCTTATTTACGATTCACTTGTTAAATATCTAAAGCAAGTTTAAAGTGTACCGGTCGTGCTGGGTTCATAGATCGCCTCATGTGGAAGAAAGAAAGCTGTGGCTAGTGTTTGGCATTTCCAAAAAGCTGGATTTTTGTTTGCATATGATTTTCTGACTGCGACTAAACCCTCATGGTGTCACCTAAGTCTACTTCCACTTGACCTTTGACAGTCAGCAGCCCTGCTTCTTACTGCCGTGGAGTGTGGGTGTTGTGCGCCTTGATTGAGGGCTCTCAAGCACATCACCGAGTTATGAGTTTACCTCCTTCCCTGACATCCTCTCTGGTTGGGCGAGAGCATTGTGCGGGGCTGGAAAAAAAAAAAAAAGGGCTTGCCCTTCTGGCCGCAAATCAGCGGGAAAAGCAAGTTTGTATCTTCAAAGGGTGGCCCTCTCCCCGTGATTTACAGCCCCCACAGAGACAAAGTTAGGCACGGCCACTGTCTCTGCACCTGGGCCTTTATCAAGCAGCCAGGATGAGCTCTTTGCAGAAGACATTCAAATGTACAAGGAGCAGATTAGGCTGACTCAATCTTCTTTTGCCCGGAGAGAGAAAAAAAAAAAAAGAAAAGAGAACCGGCTGACTTCAAAAAGACCCCTTTCCCTCGGCTTCTTGAATGAGTGAAAGGGTTCAGGAATGAAAACAGCCTTGTGTATTCAAAGTGCTAATTCACAACTTATTCCTCTAATACACTCATGAAGCACTTTTAATTGTGTTAGTTCGCATTCCAAAGGCATGTTTGTAGCTTTTAATTGGAGGTCTCTTTGAAATCATTGAAATGTATGACTTGTGGGGCCAACTTAAACAGTTCTTATGTGCTTGGCGAGGAGGCTGCATGGCTACTTTTCATTCCCATGCCTGGGTGGCACTCAAATATTGACTGTTGGAGTGAAAGTGGTCCTAAAACTATGTAAACATGTAATTAAAAAAACTAAATAAATCGTCAATGTTATATATAAGTTAGGTGCATTTCTGACTTAAAGGTGTTGATAATCATTGAAAGTAACTGACAAAAGCAATTTTTACAAAAAGTGTAAATTAGAAAATGTGTTTTAAAATTTTTTTTATTATTGCTCATGTTCCCTGTTTAAGCACAAATTACTATTTTAAACCTTTGCAATTTAAAAAAAATCCCATAATATTGCATAATTGTGTACGAGTGTATTATAGTTTGCAAAAAAATAAATAAAATAATTCCAAAAAATAGGATATTTAGGGTATTTTTTGCACAACAATCAAGTGGAACTTTTATACAGTTGCATTTTAACTTCTATATACATAAAACTGGAAATGCTAATAATAGTGTGTGTGTCCTGTGGTTGGGAGGAAGGGGACGTGGGTGGGTGAGTGGGTGAGGGGGGCTACAGCATATC